CTCTCTCTCTCTCTCTCTGCAATATTAAAACCATAAAAAGAAATGTGAAACTTTAACATGAGTGTTGTGTTGTAATCTGGTAAATCAACTTTATACGACTGTTATGACAAAATTAAACAAAATTTCCTAAAAATTATATATACATATATATCTATATATATATATATATATATTATTTATATTGGATTGGAAAATATGAAATTTTTAATAAACCATATTATTAATCAATATTGTTTTTCTATAAATTTCATATTTGATAATTTCAATATATATATACATACATATGTGTGTGTGTATGTGGTGTGCATACATGCACATGACATGCATGCACACACACACACACACTACTCACACACGTATTTTTCTTTATCCACATATATTCATTTGCAAAGTATGATTAAACAAATTTTATTTTCACAATCAATAACAACTTTTAAGGTTATGTTTTTTTATATACGTCAAATTTGATATGCACAAAAAGAAAAGAAAAAGAAAAAAAAAAATAGGTATATATATATATATATATATATATATAAAAGAAAAACAATATTACTTTTTCACTCTCTTATTATTTCGTGTATCGTGTAATAACTTTTTTTTTAATCTTTTTTTTTAATTACCAAATCATTCAAGAAATATTTTTACCCATCCCCTTTTTGCTTTCTCTCTCTTTTTTTTTTTTTTTTTTTTAAATTAATTAATCATATAATGAATAAAATGTCTAGTCATCTTCCATCACTTTTTTCGTTTTTTATTATTTTCTTTTTCAATTCTGTAGACCCTTATAAGGGTCGGTTAGTAAGTGATTTTTTTTATACAGGAGTCCCTTTTGCATTGATGGACCCTTATATGGGGGTCATTACCATATAATGTAAAAGTTAATCTTGAATTATCAATTAATTGACATAATTCATATAAATAAAATGCATACTTTGTAAAAATAATAATAATAATAATAATAATAATAATAATAATGTGGAATTAGAAAAATACGTTGAAACATTGTAAAAAACCGAAACACATTGACAAATTTTGTTAACCCTTTGACTGTCACACTGAAATCATATGTTTTGTCCAGGACGTTACGGCACTATTTTTAATATTCAAATATAATGGTTAAATAATAATAAATTAATGTTAATAAAAATATGTTTATTTTAAAGTATCTTTTTATATAACGGTTATATTCAAAAACATTAACTTTTAATTTTTTACAATTGTAAAAGGTCATCAATGATCACCGTGGTGTCTCAGAAAAAAACATGGCCGGTCATAAATGACCAATATGACAGTCAAAGTGTTAATTTATTTATTTAATCATTTTAAATGTAATATCAAGTGGAAAATTATAAATTTGATTAAATTTAAGTGTTACAACACACATACATACATACATACATAAACATATATTTTCTTAAAGGAGTATTTTAAAGAAAAAGAAAAAGAAAGTGAGTGAGTGAGTGAGAGAGACAGACAGAGAGAGAGAGAGAGAGAGAGAGAGAGAGAGATAGCAACAGGATGGAAAGAAATAAATTGAGATGTATATTGTGTTTCGATTGTAAAAAAAGAAATAAAGAAACAACATTTTTTAATATTTTGACCATTGAGGGTTTATATAACGCAGGCAATTTCTTTCTTTCTTTTTCGTTGGATCAAAAAACAAAAACAAAAACAAACAAAAAATAGGCAGACATGTTTAAATTTTTCTAAACTACTATTTACTACTACTATGGTGTGTTATTCAGATATTATAATTGATTAGTATTATCATTATATTATAAAACGATGAAGAAAAAATTGCTGAATATTTCAATTGAATAATTTACGAATTGTTTGTATAAATTTCTTAAGAAAAAAAAAAAAAAAAAAAAAAAAAAAAAAAAAAAAAAAAAAAAAGAAAACCTATACAAATTGAAAAAATCCTTCCCCAAAAAAAAAAAAAAAAAAAAAACATTGTACAAGGAGCATGATATCGAAATGATTGATAAAGA